CCCAATCATCGTCATCAACATCATCACCTTCCTTATTATTATCATCATCACTATCACAGTCAACTGCAGCAGAAACACAACCACGAGAAGCAGTAGTAATATCCAAAAATCCCAGTACCAAAACCAAAACCAAAACCACAGGAAGTCTCGACCCTCATAACAGGGATATTTCCTCTTTCGAATTACCTGCAGCCCACCATAACCATCATAACAATCTTGGTACTAATGATACTAACAGCGACAAAAACAGCCAAGAAGTGCCTACCATGCCTGATCCGGCACCAGTTCCGTCTCCCAGCAAAACTACCAACCGGATTCTTCACTTCTTGGCCACTCACTCCCAAAGTACTCCTAGACAACAAAGCTCTTCTAATCATCATCATCAGTCGGCCTTATTGTCTCCCTCGGCCATTCCTGTTTCCACCAGTACTAGCACCAGTACAACTGCAGTCACAAAGACCAGCAACTCAAGCACTCCTCGCAAACCGTCTGCTCGTGCTCCACGCCCACACTCGATGATGCCCGAAAGCCAGGCACCGACCGGATCAATCCTGCAAGCAAAGTTCCTCTCTAGTATCCAACGTAACCCCCGTTCCGAAGGAATAACGACAACAGGAGCAACAACAGGAGCAACAACAGGATCAGGAACAGGAACAACGGCCCCTGCGCCAGGCGGAGTTAGTGTTAGTACACCCTTTAATGGAGCTTTCCCAAGACAACAGTTGCAACAGCAGTTACATCAACAAAATGGTCAGACCCAGACGTCATCTCGTGTCACCCCTCAACCGACCATCGGCACATCTCATCCTGTGCGTGGTACTCGTCGCAAGGCTCTGAGTTTGCTGGTCAACTCTGTCACAGACTACATTGGCCACGATGACAATACCAAACGTTCCAATAACACTAACAATCATACTAATGGTGCTAATGGAGTCAATGGTCTTCCTCAGGCTGGTAAACGCACCATGCCATTCGCTCGTCGCAACACTCGCCACCAGTCCCAAACCGCGGCTGGGGGGGCCAACGAACCAAAACCGGTGGAATCCAAGACTTTGGATCCAAAGACCCAGCAAGAAAGACTGGTCATGATGCCCTCGGTGTCCGAGCAATCCGTGACATCGTCTGCGCTTGAGAAAGAGAAGCACCGTAGTGCGGGCAAGAAGATCATGGACTGGTTCAAGAAGAAACCCCAGAGCAGCAAAGAGTCTGGGATTTTCGGAAACAACAACAGTAGTAGTCGATTGGGTGGGGCGGCTCATACGCCCAACGGTGCTAATGACCACCTGCACCCGTCCCATCCGGTGCGTGCTATGCATATCGGAAAGGCCTTGGGCTCGTACGCGGTTGATTTCAACGACTCCAAGCTGCGCACCCACCATGGTGCGGTCGACCAGGACGCGCTGACTTCGCGCCCGCCCCACGAAGTATTTGTCCAGGTCAAACAGGCATTAGGAAGTATGGGTATTGATGTGAAGCGCGATGGCGAGTACAAGCTAAAGTGCACCCGCCGCAAGCGCAAGGCCGCGCCTGTCTCGTTATCGCAGTCCTCGGCATCTGGCGCGATGATGTCGATGATGGCTGCTGACCAGCGTTCGCAGCAGAGCCGCCGCCAGAGTATGCTGCTGATGACCGAGGACCAAAAGAAACGCCGGATGAGTTCAGGCACTCCGTTGAGAATGCTGTTGCGCCGGACGAGTGGAGCCACGACAAATGTAAATGCACCAGCAGTCGTTAGTCAGGATAACAATAGTAGCAGTGAAGCAATTGTTGCTAGTGGTAATGGTAATGGTAATGCGGAGGACATCATCGTAACTGGATCCCAGGTGTCCGGAGTATCCGAGACAACCGAGACGGTGTACGGCGATCCGGTGGTGGATTCTGGAGAGGAAGTCCGGTTCAGTGTGGAGTTGTGCAAGATCAAGAACTTGCCTGGTTTGTACATTGTCGACATTCGTCGCATGAAGGGTAGTGTCTGGGCATACAAGTGTATCTATCATGCCTTGCTCGAGACCCTGGATTTGAGTGGCAAGGGTGGTTACATGTCGACCCATGCACCCCAGGAACCCAGTACGCCCTTATCTCCTCGTCCAACCGAAAACAGCGTGAATGGTACAAAGAAAGACACCGACAACCCAACCAATAGCAGTAGTAAACGTGTCAGCACTGTAAGCAGTGGAGCCAGCAGCAGTGTTCTTGAAGATGTCATCAAAGAAGAAGAAGTATAAAGGTTCAAAAACCAAAAAAAAAACACAAACAAAAACAGAAGAATAATAATATAATAATAACCAGCAACAACAACAAGAAGAAGAAGAAGAGAACAAAAAAAAAATACCCAACTTTTCTTTATATTTTTTTTTTGATTTTATTTTATTTTATTTTATTTTGCTTTTATACCTCTTTTAATACACACTGCCTTGCCTGGCTTAACCTTTACTTTACTTTACTTTACTTTATCTTACCTTACACTATTTATCTATCTATTATATATCTATCCACCTCTCTCTCTCTCTCTCTCTCTTTCCCTCTCTTTTTCTTTGTGTTTTGATTATTGACTTTTATAGTAATCAGACAACTTCTTTATGCTCTTCTTTTATATTACAAGACGCTTTAAAGACTATTGTGATTATCAATCCCTCTTATTATTATTATTATCATTATTATTTATTTATTTATTCTTAACAAAAAAAAAGCAAAAACAAAAACAACAAAATATCCACTATTTGATCTTTTCTTTTATTTTTTTACCCTTTCTATCTATATTCCACTTTACTACCACCACCACCACCACCACCACCACCACCACTACCACTACTTTTTTTTTAAAATAATAATAATAATATTTTAAATTCTAACTTCCAAAATATATATATATATATATATCATTACCTCCTCCTCTTTCCTTACTTACTTCTTTACTTCTTCACTCTTACCAAAGCAAACTTTTATAAAAAGAATTCAAGAAGCCTTACTTGATTCCCTTGGCCTTATTATTATTATTATTATTATTATTATTATTATTATTATTTATTTCCTTTGATTTCTCTTCTTTTTTCCCTTCCTTATTTTGTTTCTTCTTTCAAGTATAATATATACGTATATTATCTATTTATCAATTTTGATGAGCTCTTTTTTTTTTCTATTATTTATTTTATTTGCTAGTCAAATCACTACCATTATTATTATTCTAAACCCTTGTTTTCCCTTTCATTTTTTTTAATATAAATAATATAATATAATATCCAAGAAAATTATCTTCATTTCTTCCCTACTATTTTCTATATATTTTACAGCCCCTTTTAAAAAAAAACCTAATGGTGGCAAAAGAAATATATATATATATAACATTTTTTTTTGTTTGCTAAAAATTTATTTATTTATTTATTTATTTATTTGTTTGTTTGATTTTAATATACACAAGAGAAATAGAAAGCAACAATATATACTATACTATAATATATTTCCTTTATAGCTCATCACGAGTAGAGGCACTCCAGACATCAAAGAGGCGCTCAAGTTTTGACATTTGCTGGTCAATCTGGCTGGTCGACTGAACCTTGGCCTTGTGGAGATAGTTGCGGATTGCAGCCAAGACATCGGCAACGTGGTTGCGTGCAAGCGACTTTCGGTCCCGGATTGACTGGGTCAAGGTGTTCTGGATCCAATCCAGCTGTGCCTCGGTGTACCCGATCTTGCGCCATGTGTTTCGTTCCTTCTGGTGCCAGTAGTTTGCAAACGACTGCTTCCAGCCCTCGGTTGTGTCGGTCACCTGGGCATGCAGAGATGATGCAGACGCCGACGCATCGTAGACAGCACGACCGGCCGCATCGGTGGCGTAGTTGGCAGCCGAAGCTGCAGACGCCGACGCAGCATTGGCAGCAGATTCGGCCGCATTGGTGGCGTGGTTGGCAGCAGACGCGGCAGACTCGGCAGCAACATAGGCAGCATATCCAGCCGCATCGGTCGCATAGCCAGCTGCAGACGCAGCAGAGGCAGACGCAGCATAGGCAGCACGGCCGGCCGCATCGGTGGCCTGGTGGGCAGCATTACCGGCCGCTCCTACGACGGACCCGATCGATCGGTTGGCTTCGTCGGCAAGCGATCCTGCGGCATTGGTCGCATGCTGTACATAGGATCCGGCCGCATCGGTGGCAGAGGCAGCATAGGACGCAGCAGAGTTGTAGTTTGCGGCCGCAGTCCGGGACGCGGCTGCTGAGCGAGACGAGGCTTCCCAGTCGGCCGACACAGACGACGCAACAGACTTGATTGATGCAAATGCACCCGAGGCGGACTTTGAGGCTGATGCTGAAGCGGCCGATGCAAGGGCGGCTTGGTTGGGCGGTCCGACGACTAGCTGACGCAGGCGTTCAAAGAGACCGTTGACGGTGGACTGGGTCAGGTAGCCCGACTGCTTGAGCTTGTCCGAGGCCATGTTGATGAACTCCTGGGACTGGTCATAGCCCTTTCCTGCATAGTCGACCGCAAAGATCTTGTAGGCATTGACGTCAGACCGGATTGAATCCAGGGCCGCCTTGGCCTGGTCTGTGCTGAGCTTGGATTGCTGTTCTACACTGCGCTGCAGACTGTTCCACCAACGGTCATCGCCAATTCGGGTTACCTCACCTGTCGTCAATGCAGACTTGACGGCCTGGCCAATCGACTCGAGCTGTGCCTTGGTGAGTTTCTGGTTTGATTCCAGACGCTTGTAGATACCGGCCAGCCAGTGCTGGAACGAGTCATCCCAGTAGGTTTCCTGGGCCTTTTTGGTGGGCTGGCCAAAGAACTTCTGGTACCAGGTCGGGTGGGTGTTGGTCAGGCCGTGCTTGATTTCGGACGCAACTGTCTGCCACTCGGCTGCAGTAAGATATTTCTGTTTTAGAACCTTGGCTTGGATCTGGTCCAGATGCTCCTGGAGCTGGTCGCCAGCCAATGCACCATGGAGTTCGAGTTGACGGAGCTCATGCTGGAGTGTGTTGATCAGAGCATCGGCATTGGCTTCGCTGATGTTCTTGTTTTTCTTTAGGTTGATCTTGATGCCATCAAGCAGCTTGTCGACCTTGTCACCAAACAGCTTTGCAGTAGACTCGGCAGCGGTCTTGTATTGTCTGACGGTATCCAAGAGTGAATCTGAAGAAGACTTGTCATAGGCAATGTTGTACTTGTCGAAGAACTGGCTGACCTGATCCGAAGTCCAAGAGCTGATGTCTTCTACACTTGTTTGACCGACTATAAAGGGTTGATCTTGCATTGTTGAGTATACCTTGCTCTTGTAGTTATAGAATAAACTTACCCTTGGCTTCAACAGAAGGAGACACCATGGCCACAGCTGCTGCGATGGACAGAAATGTGATTGGAGATTTGAGCATTTTTATAATATTTTATATGTGTGTTTAAATGGATTTATGTATAAATGTATGTATGTACGTAAGTAAGTAAGTAAGTAAGTAAGTAAGTATTTGAAATATACAGCTATAATTCTTTTATATATATGGAGTAAAGAAAGATATTATAGAAAGAAGAGATGTATTAAAAAAAAAGACGTTCAAAGGATGCTTGAATTTTTATATGATTTTTTCTTTTAAAAATAATAATAATAGTTTATATTGATGCCATCATGATGTTTTCCCTTTAGACTAAAATACTCAATGGTCAATGGTCAATGGTCAATAGTCAATATTCAATACTCGAATTATCTTTGAGTATATAATTTATTTAATTTTTTTTCTTTCTTTTGCTTGAAAAGTTGCGGAGGTTATAGTCATTTAATGAAGTCATCATGATGTGTATTTTTTTTTCTTTTTAATTTTTTAATTTTTTTTTTATATTTTAACTTATTTTAATTAATACAAGTTGATCCTTTTTTTTCAACTTTGCTCATTTGTTAAATTGTTCTTCTTGTTCCAATTAAACTTGTCACACTAGATTCTTTCTTTTTTTTGGCTCAATATTTTATACAAAATAGTAACTTCAATAATGATAATTATAAGAGAATCATTAAATGTAAAATTGACCAAGTAATATACAAAACGTACAAAACATAAAAGTAATGAAAACAGAACCCCTAGTACAATATCATATAGTATAATCTAGTAAGGTGTGAATGGTATAATGGGTGGGGTTGGTACATTTGAAAGAGTATAAAAGTGAATATAATCGTATTACGACAGGCACACTTCATATATATATATATATATGTCTGTGTGTGTGTGTATGTAATAAATCAAATTGATCTTATATACAAATAATGAAATAAATATAGGTTTATTCAGGATCTATCCAGGAATAGATTGGATTTCTCTATACAAGCATTGGACTTTATCAACATCGAATTTCTTGATTAATTTCAACCTTTATATTTACATACAAACGAAAATTATCAATAAATAATTATTAAACTTGTAAAGAAGCGTATTGTATTGTATGTCAAATCATAATTCTTATAAAGTTGATAACTATACATGTGTGTGTGTGTGTGTGGCTGACAAATAACGCTATATGCACCTTTGAGCCACTTTCAAACTTCACAGTACCTGGTAAAAAGAAAATGTACAAATTATTATTTGGAGTGATTTTCTTTTTGTTCTTTTTATTTTATTCGACCTGTGAGGGGGTCGGTCTGTACACGTGTAACCTGTATTTCTCTCTCTTCCTTACACACACATGCTATGTTCTAGAAAATGTGGGGCAATATTTTTTTTTTGCTGCTGGTACTAAGAAGGTTCTTTATATATTTATGTACACTTGAAAAGTCATAACTAGAATATATATATTAGAATAACGGCAGAATATTTGTGTGGCTAATATACAACGAGTCTTGTACTCAAAAACTCAAAAATCTCCAAGGTAACCTATAAAAAAAAAGAAATAAAAGAAAGAAAATATACACTTCTTTTTGTCTTTACAAGGTTTATGGATATTAATAACAATACACCAATCAGAACCTTGAGTTTTGGTCTTTTTAAAACTAATAATAATATTTCAACCAAGCACACAGAATTGGCCTTTGAAATGGGTTGCTCGATTAATCTATAGTGTGGCTTTGGGATGACTGATATACATTGACACAGAACTTCTTTACAATCTTTACAAATTGTCACAACAGACGGCTTCTGTCTGTACTACTAAAATGCTCTTTTGTGTATATGTGTGTATGTGGAACATTTAATACGCCCACTCATAATGTATATATTTATAAGTACGCTGTTTTTGGCAGTGTTGATTTGAGGATCATGTTTGTCTATTTGAGTCTCTTTTACCATTTGATCAGTCATGCATGTACTAGGATACACAATTACTACGGCTTTGTGTGAGAGAGTTGATGAGCTGAAGAATTTTCTTATGGTTATAGTACATGAGCTCTGTGGGCTCATACTTCCTCTTTTTTAAAATAAATAAATAAATAAAGGTATATATAGATCTATAAATTCAAGACAGACTTATAGTTCCTTGAGACAGACAGATCAATTATGAATTACTTGATCTGGGGTGTCTTTCTGGCTGGCTTGACTCTTTTGAGTCTTATCGAGGCATCTTACGATCTGCCACTCGAATTCGCTGGGTCTATCAAACGTCGATCTGGAGCTGCCACTCTTGTCCACGACAATGTGGTCTACACATACGGAGGCGAAATATACGATCACCCTTACTCTAACCTTTTTACCTCTGTCTCATTGTCGGATTCTGGAGATATCATTTACCAGAATGTGTCCCAACAGACACCAGGTCCCATGTGCACTGTGTCCAACATCATTCTTCTGCCTGACAACGAGACCATCATACTGTTTATTGGAAGATACGTTGAATACAAGTTCCCGGATACTTTCCAGATCTACACCTACAACTTAAATGATCCTCTTGCATCCTGGACAAAGCTTGAACCTCCAACTGGTGCAGTCTGGCCACCTGCACGCAAAGATTATTCGGTTACATTAGCACCGAACAACAAGATCTACATATACGGTGGAGCCGACATGAATACAAGTGCAATTCTTAATGAAATGTACTCCTTTGACCCAAACACCAATCTGTTCACCAATCTCACTCAACCAGATTTGATATATGTTAACTCTCACACTGCCATAGCTCTTCCGTAATTTTTATTTTTATTTTTATTTTTTATAAAGAGAAAATGAATAATCAAAGGATATGATATGAATACTATTATTGCTATTGATACTAACTCTCTATTCTCACGCTACATTTTATTTTAATATATATATATATATATATATTTAAAACATACAAACAAATAGTAATGGTACGATTGTTTATGCTACCGGAAGAATCGGTAGACTCGCAACAGAAGGATTAATACAAGTACCCCCAGACCAAGTATTGCTCTACGACACAAATACCGATACCTGGGAAACTGTACATACCGGAGGAGCAAGTTTTCTAGCACGTACAAATGCTGGTGCCTTATTAGGTAAGATTATAAAGACATACACATATACACCCTTTGCTTGTATCCCTAGTATTCAAATTCTAACTACTTTTATTATCATTCATTATGTAGACCCAACTCAAAGATATATCTTTTTATTTGGAGGTAAATAATAATAATAATATTAAGACTTACATAGATACATAGATTCTTTTGTAGTAGTCTAAAAGAAACTTTCATTATTATTATTATTATTTTTATTAATTGTTTTGAATAACTATTCAGGATTGTACACAGATGATGTTTACCAAGAGCTATTAAACGATTTTTATGTACTCGACACTATGACTTGGACCTGGATTGAACCAAACATCACAGGATTCCCACCGGGTCCTCGTAATCAAGCTTCAATGGCATTTGTAGCTGATGATCTGCTGATGATATTCTTTGGTAATAAATATATATTTATTTAACGTGCGATCCTTTATACCCACAGAAACCAACCCTTAATATTCACATGTAGGTCAGGCAATGACTATTTCTAGAAACGACTTCAATATACTTCGTTTCAATACTGACAATAGTATATACAGCTGGCTCAAGGACAGTGACGAGCTTGTGTACCCAAACAGAAAAAAAGACAAAAAAGGCAGTATACTGTCAACCAGCGCAATAGTTGGCATCAGTCTGGCTGGTGTGTGTGTAGTTCTTATGATTTTCTGTGCCTTTAAGTTTTGGAGCCAAGTAAAGACTTGGCCTCTTCTTGTGTACAATGGAATTATCTGGAGTCCAAGGTATTTTTTCACAGGAGCCCTAATTTATGAAGCACGAATCAATTAAATGTATATATCGATTTTTTTTTTGCCTTTTGTTCTTAGATTTGGAGAACCTACTTGGACAGAAGGATTTCGTCTGTCTTCACGGTGTATTTCTTTAGGTCTATTGGCATTTTATTTTGCGTATGCAATTCGGGAAATATCTGATAGTACCAAAGCTACCGTTGTACTCAAGTCTAGCTCTTCAACTATACAATCACCAGGTAAAAAGAATAAAAAAAAATAAAGAAAAAATGACTTGAGATTAAGAGTGGATCAACCTTTTCAAATAATACATATATACAATTTTGACACTCAATCATAATTCACTTCTCTATATTGATCTTGCAGATATCCGGTTCTGTTTTGACGGATGGAATAATAGCGCCGGTGCCAAGTCAAGTGATCGTCCACATCTCCTCTGCTCAACCGATGAAGGTTACGACTGTGTGGATTTCGTGACCGGTCTCGACATGTCTGTTCACCAACCAGCTTTCTCGGATCGAATTGGCGATGTATCCTGCTTCTTATTTGCACCCCCAAAGCGATTCAATCTTGTCGAGGATGCTGGTCAACAAGGACTAGGAACAACCTTGATATTTGCTTTGTATGGAGATCCTGGCGTAAATGGTGCCATCCACACTACTATCTATCCTCCGGGTATGGACCCTAATGTGGGCATCTATGGTGTAAAGACAACTGATGTTGGCCAAAAAATGTCAGACAAACAGGTGAATGACTGGATTGTAGCCGATCTAGACGACAGATACGCCATCAATGTTCACAGTGTGTATCCCAAAACAGTCTCCACGTTGAGTTACCAGATACAAGATCACCAGTACCTCGTAGACAACAAGTGGAACAAGATTGGTTTCTTACAAGATTATGATCACATCCCGGAGATCAGCACAATCTATCGCCCTGGTGTGGTCAGTGATTCTATCAAGGCGAGAGGAAAATACCACGTCAGTACACTCCGGGTGTTTCCAAATGAATACGTTACCATGATATCGCAAGAAAAAGCAATGTCTACTGTCTTGAATATGATCGGTTCTTTGGGTGGTGTAATCAGTCTTATGGCAGCTGTTCAGCTAGTGCTCTTTGGTTTCCGTCCAACATCACCCTGGGGAATAGTGCAACGATTTGCGTTTGGGTCTTTCAAGACCTCAATTGACCGAAGCTTACGAAACGAATTCAATTATCCGTACAAGTCTATTCCGCTTGTTCACAGAATTTCAAATCTCCATACCAGTCCTTCGTCCGAGACAGTCGTGAGTCTCAATCGGCAAGATGTCAATAGTCAGTTGCTAGAAAACGATACGGTGCCAGAAACAAACTCTGAAAGACGATTTCATCAGATAGAAGAACGCATGCAATTGATGGAAAAGCTTTTACAGGCATATTATGTCGATAACGAGATTTTTAAAGAACTGGACAAAGCAATCCGGCGGGATGAACCGAGGGGTAGATCAATTGATGAAATGATCCCGGACTATGAAGCACAAACAGGAACACGAAATAGGTCACACCAGAGACGTTTGTCCGAATCCAAGTTGTAGAGAACAAACCAGACATATTCTTTATAGATAATATATATATATATATATATATATGTGTGTGTGTGTGTGTGTTAATGGAGAAATATAGGATAAGCAACATTTGTTGTTTAGTGATAGTGTCTTATACATACATAGATATGTACCTTATTTGGTGTTTAATGCTGTAAATATTATTACAGCCAGGGGAGAGAAGGGAGACACGCAAATGATATTAAGGTAGTATAAAAGTAGCAACATGTTGGTGGGTAGCTCAAGAACGACACAAGAGGCACCAATAAGTAATTTTCTCAAATTTGGCATGCACACAATACTAAAGTCAAGAAATAAATGAATGAATGAAGAGATAGCATAATTGATTGATTTAATAGTGTAATTAATAGACAAATGGGTATAAAATTGGACTCGCCCACTGTACTACAAATATGAAGCTGAAAAAAAAAGAAAAGAAAGCTAAAATGGGCCTTGTTCATCCAGGAATCTGGGTAGCGTAGATCAAACCGAACAACCTGATTTCCTGGGTCAGATATTGCCCAAAACAAAATCTATCTATAGTTGTGACGCCCATTCCAAGAATGGATCGAGCTGGAGTGATCTTTTTTTTTTTCTTTAAAAAAAAACATGACGTTTTCGAATGATTTTTATATATAGATGTGCGTGTTTTTGCGCATTACAAGCAAATAACCACAGCAAATATGGTGGACATGTAGCTGGTAGAGTCCCTGTTTATATTTATTTCCTTGCATACATAGAATAAATACATACGAATATATATATATAAACAAAAGTTTCATGCTATATTAAAATCATTGGGTCCCGGAAATTATGTCCTATCTGAGGTTGCTCGGTTAAAATTGAAGCATCGTACCCTTCCACAAGAAAGCATTGTGTTCCTATGATCGATAGCCTTTGGGTACTACATCAAGAACAGTTTCTTACTGATTAGTATATATATGATCTAGTCCTTACACTACTTTCTGTTTTAAAAAAAGGATTATACAACGCAGTAAGGACTGTACCTCGTACATTAGCATTAGTGGGTATCCCATAAAAGGCGGTTTGATGAATATTATTTATATATACTAAGGTCATTCTGACGACATGTCCTTTATATGTATAAACTACTTTGCCCTATAATAACTTGACGAGTGTGGCGAAAACAAAATAATGGACCCACCCCCTGGTCCAAGTATATATATATATATATAAACATAACTCTGCGTCCAGACTCACCAGGCTCATCCGATCTTGTGTAATGCAATCAAATATACCTATCAATCTTTTACTTTCAAGATAATGGTAATAACAACAATTTTAAGACAAGTAAATGAATATTTGGAAAGTCAATCAGAATTTAGCAAATAGAAGAAGAAGAAGAAGAAAAGGTATAAAACCGTTATTCATTATAAATATTTAGTGTGTATATATAATATTTTGGTTTTAAAGCTACAAACCTTTACTCACAGGAATAACCACAAGAAGTTTAAAGGCTTTATATAATCCTAAAAATAAAAATAAAAATAAAAATGAAAATTGGATCTATCCAGGTCTCGGTACATATTGTCGCAGCTCAGCACCACATTATTAGCACAGGACAGTATCTTTTGAGCACTAGAATCTAAATAAACTCTATCAATATATTGGGTCCAATAACTGGCATGCATGTATCGAGCCTTCACTTTACTCTATGCAATTCAATAGTACAATATACGCTAATTTCTGTCAGCTCAATCTTTAAAGACTATACTATAAAAATGCTTATAGGTAAAAATGTTTGTTTAATAAATACTTCCAAATTGAACGTTTTTTGTACACACTGTAAATACAATGAGGACATTTGCTTGTGTATTCAATTCACTACGTCTTTTCTGTCTCTCTTTCAAACACACATTTCTTTAATCATTTTATCATTTTATTTTTTCCCATCTCTCTCTTTCTTTCTCTCATTCCAATGCATGCCATTCACAATGCCCATCCGGATTACCCAACTTCAATTATACATTTCACGCCAATGGCATTCTCAAGAACTCTTCCGATTTTTCTTTATAGACTTTATAGACAAAAAGAAAAGTATATACAATGAAACACAGTAATCAACACAATGATAAGAGCACACATATTATATTATATTATATTAATCTTTAGATTTATTTAACTAAATTAATTTTTCTTATTAATGAGACTTCCTAATTACAACATTAACCTCTTCAATCAAGTAAAAAAAAAGTTTGAACGCGTATTTTTTTTATTAGTCAACAACAGTTTAAAAATTATTTTATTTATTAGTCAACAACAGTTTAAAAATTATTTTATTTATTTATTAAAGATATACATAAAGAAGCTATTTTATTTTATATGATTTCACTTAATGTTTTTTTACTAATGTAAAAAAATAAAAAGCATGACACCAAGTTCTTTGTCCCCGCATTACGCGGCTCAATCTCCCTCAGGACGTAAACCTGACTTGGTAGCGAAGGAGGTGTGGGAATGGTGTTAATCCGTGGCGTAAGACAACAACCGGGTTCATCCCAACTACCCTATCTCATCACTGAGAAGGGCCTGCGAACGTACCAGAGAAACCTACCACAAAGTAGCAGGGTCCAGCGTGTTCGACTACCAAGCAACACCGTCAGTTCCAGAGAGCTTCGAACAAGGATTTCATGAAGAGTCGGCAGTAAACTCCACTTCCTCCCCGTCCTCCACTCAATAAACTTTCATGATGCTAACTCGGCGGCAGCTTTTTTTAAACATTGCTCGTCGCCATTGTTTCAGAAATTATACAATTAAATTCACAATTCAGAACAATGTTGATCTGCGCCTCTAAGAATTAACCAAGAAGCTAGAGACGACGCACTTCCGCTTTTTCCTGCACAGAATGGAAAAAGAATGTCTCCCAATCGACCCATAGGTAGCGCGTCAAACTCAACTACAGGCAATCAGGGGGTACCCGTCTCCAGAGTATAAAAAAAGCTAAAGAGAAGAAAACCGTGTCGGTTGAATGGGCTTTATTTTGATATACCCGCAGTCTGCGACTAAAGTTTGGGACTGCGCTTTTTTTTGCCAGGGGTGTTTTTTGCCTCTCACGTCAGAGCAGTGACATAGCTGTATACTCTTTTTAGTAGGATTGTGTAACTGTTCTATGACAGTAGGAGCAGCTTATAGATTTAATCAAATAAATGTTGCAAAGTGAAGTAAATTAGAGCAAAGAAGCAAAGAAGTAAAAAGAGTAATGAAGGGTTTAGTTTTAATCGGTATAGCAATAACTCTTAAAGTGGAGTACAAGTCTCTATAACGGCGATTTGTAGGTTACTCTAAACTGGTCTGTGCGCTTTTTATTCGAGCGTACAAAGAGATTTGTTTTTCTTTTGCTTGTACAAGTAGACATAAATGAGACCCGCAAGTCACTAGGAGATAAACTTATAATATCTCAAAGTGCTATAAGGGTATTAGGTAGAAAAGCGAAAAACAAGATAAAAAGTATAAATGTATATTATCTGAATTATCACAATATGGTAGGTGGCGGAATTTTGAGTTCGAGATTGAGTTTTATTGAAATGAGGTTATACCAATAATTGGAGGTATCAAGGTGATTTTCCAAGTGAATACGAAGGATTGCCATAAGTTACGTTGTGTCGATGATGCAAAACATAACAGACCTACCTAGCTTTTTTTTTAATTTTTTTTAAAGAACTCTAGATACTAACTGTAGTTATATATTAATAAAAGTGAAAACAATTAGCAAATGAATACTACAGAAGAGACCAAAGTCTATCCTTTTATTAGAAGGTTCAATTGGCATTGACAAACCAATTATTTCAAGCTATGTAACATACATTAAATACCGAGAGTTATGTTAGATATAGAACAAAAACAAATGGTCTAATTGTGCCTTCAGTTTACTCAAGACCAATATCAAGTTGTTTATTACAAAGGTTGATTAATTGACAATTGTAATACCAATTTTACAGCAGCAATAACTTGGGTGCTTTATCAGAATGTACATTTAAGACTGTATTGGATATTCTACTTACAAAAAAGCAAATAATTTACTTTTGCAAAAATTATGTTTTACAAAGAGAAATACTATAAGATGACGATATTATTTTTATAGGAAAAAAAAAGGTCATTTGGTATTAATATTTCTCTCTCTTTATGAAATAATAAAGTATTGCTTTATCTCCAAGCTTGTTCTTTTTGTTTCAAATTTTAATATTGCAATTATTTCAAAAAAAATACTTAACTTGCACTATAGACTTAGAATCTCAATCTGGTCAAACTATTATTGTAGTCAGCAATTGGATTGTAGCTGTAAATAACTTGGTAGTACTAAAAACCCTTGTATTCCTGTATTAGAATATGCGACACAAACTTTATTTTTAAAGGGAATACATATTGTAAGATAGGTTCGTTGCCTTTAATAAATATAAATGTATTCTGCGTAGTTTTTACGAAACTGTTAATAACGTTAAATAATTGTTGGTTGTGTGTAAAGTTTTCTAAACTCGCCTAAATAGCTGCGAGTACCAGCGAGTCTCATACTATAGTTGATGGTATATTGTTTGTATGCTTATTTAACAAGTCAATCCGTACTTTTCAGCACAAATACAATGTTTTCTGTTGGGATTAAAACCAAATTCAGAATATTATTATACACCTCAAGTCTCTACAGCCAAAAATCGTATAAACGACTGAGGCAGTAGATGACATACTTAGCATGAAAAGAAAGGTGTAGATTTGGCGAGATAAGTTCAAGTTTATAAAAAGCTTTGCACTTGTGGAAAATGCTTTAGTTATTGATACGCTAAATTATAATTTTTTCCTTGAAAATTTGACATGAATGAGCTACTACAGAAATGTACAGAAAGAATCAAAGGCGTAGATATAAGATTTTTCAGTACATCTTTTAACACAACAGAAGAGTATATAACACCAAATCTCTCTAGCTTTTTGAATTCAGAAACACTCAAGAGAAAACATGATAGATCCCTCGCAGAGTTCAAAGGTTTTGTAGATAATGACAGTTATTACTGCTATATTTTTCATTACATACATACAGAGAAAGAGATATAACAATGACTTTAAGCAATATATAAGTCTAATGTTTGAGTATGTATGCCTACTTCTTTATGATATTATACCAAAATAATAAGAAAAACAAAAGTTTTCTTGCGATCAAGAGCATAATACATGACATATTCATTTTGACTGGCAATTTTGCATGTCTTCTCAGTTAGCTAATTCTCTTTTAAGTCATAATAAATTTATTATATTAAGTAGTATCATACTAGAATAATTAAAATCGTAATTTTTCTTTCTGTATTTATTTCTTAACATATGTGCAAGTAGACTTTTTTTGCAGTGAGTTCAAGTTTTGATTAGCTAAAACTAGGTAATTGAATTAGAAGTAAAGTAGTTTAGTTTGGATATCAAAGAACTTGATGATTTATTCACAAAAATACAATCAATAATTTGAAAATTTGATCTACTCTAAATATAAATATATATTAGCTGGGATGGTCCAAATCCCAGTGTATGCTGTCACAGGTCAGCACCATATTTTACTAGCTATTATATTTATTCTTCGTGTCTTGTCCAAATCCAGAGGAGAGGGGGTCCAACGCCAGTCCATTCCATTGATTATTTTTTGATTTTTGATTTGTTTTTTGATTTGATTTTTTTCTTTTTTTTTTTGCTTTTTTTATATTTTTTATGATTTGCTTTTTTTCATTTGATTTGATTTGATATAATGTTCTATTATATTATATTGTATAGTATAATCTGCTTTGATATTTTTTAATAGACATGATGTGCCTTGATATGTCTTGTCTTCAATTGATTTGGGTTGATTTGTATTGACTTGATATGATTTGTATAATGTTCATGGTCATAGATACTGAGAAAGGTTTTGTGAAAGAGAACCTTCCGATTTGAGTTGAGAATTGGTAAAGACATCAACAGATTTGAGCCAAAAGAGACTTTGTGAAAGAGAACCTTCCGATTTGAGTTGAGAGAGAGAGTTTGTAAAAAAACGCCTTTAGATTTGAGCGGAGGGATGCTTGGTAAAGGGACACCTTCCGATTTGGATTGAGAGAATTTGTTAAAGACCAACTTCTGATTTGAGCTAAGAGAGAGTTTGTGAACGGACACCTTCAGTCTTGAATGAAGAGAGACTTTGGAAAAAGCGCCTTCAGATTTTAGTAGAGAGAGTTTGTGAACAGACATCTTTAGTCTTAAGTTAAGAGAGACTTTGGAAAGAGCGCCTTTTGACTTGAGTGGAGAGATATTTTGGAAAGAACATATTCCGATTCAAGTCGAGAGAGACTTTTTAAAAGGACACCTTCAGTCTTGACCCAAGAGAAACTTTGTAAAGGACACATTGTGATTTGAGACAACAAAGATTTTGGAAAGCAGTACCCTCCAGTTTGAGTGGATACAGAGACGCTTCGTTAACGAATGCATTGTTTTTGTTTTTGTTTTTGACATTGTTTTTGCCTTGTGTTTTTGATATTATTTTTTTTCTTCTTTTTTTCTTCTTTTTTTTTTACAAAATATTGGAATGGATATTGGACTGGACAATGGACCCCCCCTTCCTGGACTTGAACAAGGCACTGGACCCTATACTATACAACTGCGAAATATATATATTATTAGTTCTAAGATATTTGATACTCTAATTAACAGCGTAATATTTTTGTGACGCCCAACTGAAATGGGTTCAGTTTTGTTTTGTGTTGTTTTTCAGAGAAAACACCAAGAGCAGGATTCCTTTGAATAGCTATATTGTTGCTATTGTGTTTCCGTAGTTCCTTCCGAAATATTTTCTTGCTTGCTGATGGAGGCCTGTAATAGATATACTGGTGCCACAGAAATGTCTGCAAAATCCATTCGGGGATTGCCAAAACCTTTTTTTTTATGTATGAAACTACGGCCTTTGACCAACGCATAAAATTCATATTTGAAGAAATTGTTGACCCAGTGGAGATTCTTGAAGTGCTTTTGGCCGACCCATGAAATGGTAAGCTCCTGGGTTGTATAATTTGATGGTGCATTTTTGATAGCTTGATACAATTGACTTGATCACTTGAATACTTGAGGCGGGATATAGTGCTACACACAATTTTCTCGCGGGAAAGATTTACTACTGGATTGAATTTCCATGATTTTTTGTAGGAACGGGGGTATATAATTTTCTTAATGTGAGTCAGAGACCGGCCACCAAGTAGCTTGAACACCGTGCAAAATGCTTGATTTTCTTGGTTGATTGTATTGGTGAGCATCAGTAGACTTTGCATATTTTTGTTGCTGTCCTCTCATTCCACCTTTAATAATTTTTTTTTATTCTTTTTTTTTCTTTTTCGTTCTTTTTTTTTTGTTCTTTTTTTTTTTTTGTTCTTTTTTTTTGTTCTTTTTTTTTTGTTCTTTTTTTTTGTTCTTTTTTTTCTAATTTTTTCCTTTACATATATATATATATATATATATATAAACATCCACTTTTTCTTTTTGCGTTTTAGAACCAGTCTGATATTGGCTTCCTGCTTGACTGATTCTGTCCTCATCAAACTTTGACTTGATAGTTTGCTAAAATTAGACTCATGATATGACCTTTGATTGAATCTTGCTTTTCATTGGCAATCACTTGCGCACGTATTTGGACCATATATGTGGGTTGTTTGTCCCTGCTATACAGACATTGCCGGTATTGCTTGCTTTAGCCTACTCTTCTTGACAGCTCTGAATACGACCCGGTTGACCCAATTAATCAAATCTTGGTTCTATATATCGGCCAAATTTGAGGACAACTCATAATATGCTGGCTTGTGTTCAACCCATGGCTGTATTAAATACTCATAGCTGTCGATGAAATTCTTGATATCCTATCCACTTGGTAGTAGATACTCTACTTGCATAGTATCTACTATATATTATAACCTTAATAGTATTGAAAAAAGCCAAGCGCTTGTTTCCTGAAGCACATCTTGAGTAGTAGTCATATCAAATAAACATGGTTTCTTAGGTTTGTAATTGGCATGTGTTGTACATTTGAGATGCTTTTCTGCATCATGCGCTTGGCTCATTGATTGTATCTCTTGTTGATAATCGTCTTGAAAGTATCATAGCAGGTATTATAGACCGGCCAGCTGTATATTTTTAAGGACTGCCTATTGTTGACCGTGGAATCCATTTGAAAGTCAATAAGATTACCCCTAGACTTGAGCTAATATGTCTATCGGCTCTGCGAAATTCACTAGACGGAACCAAAGACACACAAAAACTTGAATAATGTTTTTCTAGAACGCCAAGGGCCACCAAGGTTGACCAAATACGATTTATAGCTGCCAGAAAACCAAACGTCCACGTTTTAGAGCTTAAAATTTTGGTATCCATTTTCAAGATCAAAAACCAGGTTCATGGTAGCCCAAACGAATTACATAGCACAATCCATAAACAGAGATATTGAAGCAATACGGCACTCATGCGCTTGAGAACAAAAGCAAGAAACACAGACAGGGAAATCTATTGACCCAATAGTCAAACGCCTGCGGACAGCAATCAAAAACAAAGAGAGACAAACCCCAGATACATGCAACAGTCAAATGCCTGTGGGCAGCAACCAGACCAATAGATGGATAAAGTCAAGATATATGGCAGTCAAACGCATGAGAACAATAATTAAAAATACGGGAAAAAACCCCAAGTTTCACAGCAGTCAAAGGCCTGCGAGCAGCACCAGTAACACATGCAAACAAAGTCCAGATACATGGATGGCGATTGCCTGAAAATAACATCCAGAAACACAGACAGCCAAAGTCTAGACAACGAAACAAAAGGGACCAATAACGTCCAAACAAAATAGGGAAAACCAAGAACCCAAGAACTCGATCATAGCCTTGGGGGGTGGAACTCAAAAAGGTTTCTACCAACCCGAAACTATTTTTTTTAAAAATAAATAAATAATTAAATAAATAAATTAGAGTCAATAAATTTTCAATATGTATAAATAATAAATATAGTAGTAAAAATATAAGTCGAAATTTTACCTTTTTGAGAACCAGAGGGTCGCTACCACCACTTTCGAATATATGCAGACGGTGATTAACAGCAAGTGCAACGAGCCACAACTCAGCCTACACCTGCTCTGCATACATCGGTGTAGACAACTCCACGTCTACCTTCCCTCTACTATCCAAAGACTTTGGACTCGGAACCAAACAAGCAAGCGGACCATGGCGTCAAACTTAAAAAAGAATGATTAGCCAGACCTTTGAATATGCGAGCAATTGGAACCGAACGTAAAGGGGAATCTGACTACCGCCTGCTGACCCCGGCATCTCATGCTTCATCGTCAAAGTTACTCTCTTCTAACTCAGCAAGGAGATCTGCCAACACCGAGTCTTGCAGGGTGACGCCCTTGTCGTCATCTTCGTGTCCCTCATCCGAGTCCTCTTCGTCATCATCATCTTCTTCTTCTTCACCTAGGACTTCTTCTGGACTCTCGGGAGCGGTAGTCAGCCACGCCACAACACCAGGAATTGTGGTAGGCTCTGGTGCCTTATCCTCTGGCAACGACACGCCAGATGGACCGTGAAGGCCAGCACCAGAATCAGATCCGGGGAGAGAAGGGGAAGATGGTAGTCTTGGACCCTCCTCTGGATTCCCCACGAGATCTTCTGCAACTTGCTGTGGGACACAAGTCGCGCCTTTGTTGGTAATGTTTACCTGTTCAAGTGGGAATGGGCAAGCCACACCAGAAGCAGGAAACATGGTTGCAGCACCAGAAACCGGAAACATGGTAGCCGCACCAGAGACAGAAAGTCTGGTAGCAGCACCAGAAGCAGGAAACATGGTGACAGCACCAGAAGCAGGGAACATAATTGCTGCCATGATGGGAGAGGCTTTTGAGACTAAGCACTCATCCCAGTGCATGAGGCAATCGTCTCGGTAGTGATCAAGGTTGCCCTCGATCCCTGGAACTACCTCGACGGCGAGGTCCATGAGACTGTCGCCATACAAGTCTTCTGGAACCATCGCTAGTTCGTTGTTCACGTTGTACCAGCAGGCTGTGGAGACGCCTGCAACAACGACACCGGCATACTCGACATCAAGCATTTCGGAAGACTCTGGCTCAGAGATTATACTCATTGCACAGTCGAGATCTTCCTCATCTGCATCCGTCAGCATCTGCTCCAAAGGAGTGTCAACAGTGGACAGGAAGTCCATGCGTTCTTGTTGCCCGAAGGCAAAGAGACCTCCGACCAACGCAGGACACTGAGGCACCTCCTCAGACCAGACAGTGTTTCCACCGTACCAGCAGTCTTCCATGGCCGAAGCCACCTCTGCTCCAACAGCACCCACTTGTTGGGCAGTACACACGGAGAGATCCCGGCCAGCCCAAAGGTCTTCACTGGTATCCTCAATTGACATAGAGCCAAAGAGAGATACCAGATCGGAAATTTCCGAAAGGATCATCTTCTGGCCAGAGGAAGGAAGCTCACCAACCAAAGGGAAACCTGGTCTCTGTTCAGTGAATGTGCCTTGTTCAGGGAGACAAGGCGAAGCAAGGAAACACCCAGTTGCAGGAACACTGGCAGAGACTTTATCATAGCAGATGCTATGGGTTTCGCTCTGGATACCGTTTTTCAACAGTTCTGGAGTAGATCCAATGGGCTTAGGAGGGTTCATCTTTGGAACTATCTCCTTGAACATCTGCTCCTCCAGTTCCTCCCCATAGTATGGGAGTCTGGTTCGGACCAAGCGTTTTAGTCCCTGGTTCTCATGACGCACTGGAATGTACGCCACTTGTTCCATGTGGGAACGCTTGTCATCTTCACGAACTGTTGGGTTCATCCGATGGCAGACGCTGTTCTGTTGTTTTACGGAAGTAGAACTAGAAAGACCTTCAACATCACTGGCACCATTAATCTCCGAAGAGACAGCAAGACAAGATATAGGCCCCAAGGCATCTCCAAGGGAGCCACTACGGCAGGAACCAGAAGAAAATACCTCCAACGAAGTACGGAAAGACTGCAAGCAACCTTCATCGTCTGACATATGGTCAATGTTAGTATCTATGTTGATATTACAGTACTCAATAGCTGTCTTACCTTTGTGGATTACTTTCATTCCGTATGAGAATAAGCCCATGTTAAAAACAGAGGGGACTGAGAGAGAGGATATAGCTGCGAAAAGCAGTGCGCAAAAGTAGGCTGAGGCAAGACATAAAGTCTGCAAGGCAAGTTGGATGGGATAGGAAATCATGAGAAATCGCGGGAAGAGAGGTATATGGAAAAAAATGAAAAAATTGAAAGGTTGATGCTTCTTTTATAGACAATTTGTCTATCTCATTCCTTGTTGATGGTACTGCTGTTTCTTTGTGACAGCTACTACATTACTCATTCAATCATAGAGCAAAGAATGTAGCTAGGAGTTTTTCTTTGTATTTCTTTCAATTTTCACTTCTTTCCGTAATGATATGTATGTAGTAAAGAGTAGTAATTTAATTTTAACAGCTAACATTAATTTAAGACCAAAAAAAATTGAATTAAATATCGCCTAAAAATGTGTCGATGCATTAAAGCAGTGGAATTTTTCTTTTAAAAAGTACTAGAAAATGAAAGAGAATGTTGAAGCAAATAAGTAAAAAAAAAAAAAAATTATAGCCAAATAGTTAACCAATATCTAGAAATAAAGGTTTTTTTCTTTTATTACTTAAAGCTGATCTGTGCTCTGTTTATATAATGTAATCAAATATATGAACTCAAGGAAAACAAGCAGAAAACCAGTGATTTATATAGACAGCCAATTTGCAAAATGTTATAGCGAAAGAAAAATATTTTGTGCCTATCACTTAAAGTTAGTGATAGTATGATTAGATCGACCAATTTTTTAAGAGAGTAGATCCTTCATTTTTGAAGAGACCATGTATTTCTTAGGGAAAATGTCATTGGAATATATTATAAGTGATATTAAAACTAAAGAACAGAAAAATGGTCTACATAATTTGTATGACCATCAGTAGGAAAATACTTGGGGTATTGGAAGATCTTGAAGATGGAGTGATACACGTCTGTATCAACTAGTGTACTCTGATCGGCCTGAGAAATGATAAATGTAAGATGAGCTACGTTAATAAAGATTGTCATTAGTTAAATATTGACTTGTTATCAGTAATAAGTAAAAAGAAAAAGCACTTGATTCCACTAATATTATTTTTGGGCTTTTGTCTCAAACTCCACGCAAAATTTGCTGGTTATAATATTATACACAAGCAGCTTTGTTATTGTTTTCTTACTGTCTTTAATACAAGATTAGCTTGATCTTATAATATGAACTTTTTTAATACGAAAAAACCAATGTGAGAATACTATATTAGAAATCATATTGCTTGATGATTCTACACAAACTTGACTACTTTGAATGTCTGAAAGTGTATCAAGTGTTTTTTTTAATGTCTATGATCAGTACTGTTATACTGTTTGAGACAAAGCATTACGTTAAAAGTGACTCTTTATGCCATGGATATATATTAATTCAAAGAAAATCTGCTTTGAAACATTTTTTTCTTAAGTTTAAATAGTTCAAAAAGAAAACATAAAGTAAAAAAAAATTCTAGCCATATGAGACTATAAAGTACTGACCAGTAGTAAAGATGTGATGCCGAGTTTTGAAAATATATTTTAGGATCTAAAAAAAATCAGTTTTTATATATATATTAAGATAGATAAAATCTCTACCTTTTTGCAGTTATTTCTGTGCGTAAAGGTTTGTAGTTTTAAAGCAAGAATATTATATACATATATCAAATATTTATATATAGCAGTACTTTTGTACTTTTTACATATAAAACATATATATATATATTTAAATATTTTTTATTAATTAATTATAGTTAAGTGTTTGAATCTTTTTTAACTAAAACTATATATAATCAAAGCTTAATATAATCATAATAGCGGGATATTCAAAATCATATAACTATTCATTTATTTTTTATTTATTTATGTAATCATTTTAATATAAAGGTTTCTGTAAAGCCATTTTGCTATACAAGAATACTCAGAAATTCAGCATAAAGTGATAGTTATATTGCACTAGAAAATTACAGATTTTAGCTGAGAAGCATATGTATTTCGATTTATGAAAGAAATAAGCTACTGGGAATAAATAAAGATAAAAATAAGAGTAGAATGATTCAATTAAACAACAAACAGAAAATATAGCTTCTTTTCAATATGTAATTAATGAATTGGGCAATATATACTTCTGTAGATATATAATTGTATATTACATACAAAAATAAAAATTTTACTTTGTTGTTGTTTCTTTGGGATGAAAGCTGAATAAGTGGTTTGTGTAAGCCTTGTACAATATACCAATATGGGTTGGGCTTATACAAACCTGACTATTGTGAGAGCTTGTAAAAAGGCTTAGGAAAACACATTTTCTATACCAAAAGCAAATAGCTTGAGCAATTATTCAGAAACAGTTATATTTCTCAGCCATATGTATTAACCAAGCCATTTCAAAAAAAGTATATATAATGTAAGAAAAAGATCCAAAATATCATTCAATTCATATTAATCAAAAACATCAATTCATTCTTAAACTTTACATCATGCGCTCTCCTATGGTTCAAATCTTCTCTACTCTCTGTTTTCTTGGACTCTTGGTAAACTTGACACAGGCAGCTCCGTATGCCCCTGGTGATTGGCGTTTGAAGTTTCACATGGATCGTCCAGTAGAAAAATCAACCGCAAAATGCATGTGGTATACCGCTAAAAATTTGTGTGCCTAAGACCATCTTGCCTTGTTTTATATAAATTTACTCATTTTGAATAGTATATAAATATATATTAATCAATGTAATATCGAAAATAAATAAAGTTAATACTTCTTTTTGTGACTTTGTAATATACATACTGAAACGTAGAACAGAATAGATTCTTTGAACTTTAATAAAATAATAAGGATTTCTACTTTTTATATTTTATTCTCATACATGTATACAATATGAAATCTGTGTTGTATTTATTATAAGTGGTTTCATTGAGCTTAATATCTCTGTTTTGGCTACTAAAGACAAAATATAAAGTATTGAACTACCTCAATTTGTAGGCATGCCTATATAACTAACATTTTTTTTTGTTAAACGTAAGACGTATCGAATTTCTTTATAGGCTACAGAAGGTAGATATCTAAAAAATAGGGTTTAAGTTTTAGTGCAGCAATACTTTACCCTATTCAAAGAATTAAAAGTAGTGTTTGATAAAATAATGCTAATTTTATATCTTATTCAATATATATATCCTTGGGAAATACTCGGTGGATTGAATGAATACAATCTCTGTAATGCTTACATTAATAAGTATACAAATACTAGTCATATTTTTATTTTAAAGGGTTTATTATAGCATTATATAACAAATACAACAATTATAATAGGTAACGACAGTGAATTTCTCTCTTTACCATTTCCTATTGATAATATTCTTTGACTGATTTGCGAAGATTATCTTGTATGAGCGTAAAGCTTAGCACTTGAAAATTATTTTGAAAAGTAGTACTTACCAATAGACACTATATATCTTTAGCCATAAGTTTGCAGTTCTAATATATCATTCACATCTCATAGTATATGTTAAAGTAGATAACTAATTATTTCAGACAATTTAATTTTATTACTTTTATATAGACAAGTCTGTAAAGCTCAAAATAAATTATTATATGTAGAAATGGTTAATTTGATTGATACTTTCAATTTGAAAAAAAGAAAACGGCTTTAGATCAATGAGAGAATAGACATCTCTTATGTGTGTGCGTGTGTATTTAAAACAATATATGAATGCTGGTTATAAGTAAAGATCCAAGAAATTAGTTAAAATATAGCAAAGATGTATTTAATGAATACAGAGTACAAAATTAATTTCTATTATTATAAAATCAATATATAAAATACATTTTTATTGACATCAACTATGTAATTGAATTAGAAGTAAAGTAGTTTAGCTTGGATATCAAAGAACTTGATAATTTATTCACAAAAATACAATCAATAATTTGAAAATTTGATCTACTCTAAATATAAATATATTAGCTGGGATGGTCCAAATCCCAGTGTATGCTGTCGCAGGTCAGCACCATATTTTACTAGCTATTACATTTCTTCTTCGTGCCTTGTCCAGATCCAGAGGAGAGGGGGTCCAACGCCAGTCCATTCCATTGATTCTTTTTTGATTTTTGATTTTCTTGTTTTTTGATTTGATTTTTTGATCTTTTTTTTTGATTTTTTTCGTTTTTTTTTTTTGCTTTTTTTTTATATTTTTTATGATTTGCTTTTCTTCATTTGATTTGATGAAATATTCTATTCTATTCAATTGTATAGTATAATCTGTTTTGATATTTTTTTAATAGACATGATGTGTCTTGATATGTCTTGTCTTCAATTGATTTGGGTTGATTTGTATTGACTTGATATGATTTGTATAATGTTCATGGTCATAGATACTGAGAGTGACTTTGTTAAAGGCCGTCTTTAGATTTGATTTGAGAGAGAATTTGAGAAAAGTAATCTTCAGATTTGGTGAAGAGAGACTTTGGAAAAAAACCACTTTCTGATATGAACCCAGAGAGGCTTTATTAGAAAACGCCTTGTTTTTTTAGCCGAGATAGATTTTGTAAAATGACATCTTCCGCTTTGATTAGAAAGATCTTGTAAAAAGACACCTGAAGATATGTGACAGGAGAGCCTTTGTAAAGAGTGCCATATAACTTGAGTGGAGAGTTACTTGGTAAAAGAACACCTTCCGATTTAAGCTGAGAAAGGTTTTGTGAAAGAGAACCTTCCGATTTGAGCTGAGAATTGGTAAAGACACCAACAGATTTGAGCCAAAAGAGACTTTGCTAAAGGACACATTCACGTTTGAATGAAGAGAGAGAAAGGGACTTTGTGAAAGAGAACCTTCCGATTTGAGTTGAGAGAGAGAGTTTGTAAAAAAACGCCTTTAGATTTGAGCGGAGGGATGCTTGGTAAAGGGACACCTTCCGATTTGGATTGAGAGAATTTGTTAAAGACCAACTTCTGATTTGAGCTAAGAGAGAGTTTGTGAACGGACACCTTCAGTCTTGAATGAAGAGAGACTTTGGAA